GGATATGTACAAGCAATGATAACAATCCTATACTAGATCCTAGCTGTTTATATAGAAATATGCGAAGTACAATCATGAGATAGATCTAGAAAGGTATTGTCTGACTTGGTCTTCGAGTTCATGATGATGGCACTTAGATCTTGTGGTGCTGGAACGTAGTTACAGCTGTATGGTGTAACTTGTTGCTCTGCTGTCGTGAAGATGCCCTAGTGCTTTCTTCTCTGCTGCTTTGCTGGTTGGGAATTCATGTGTGCTTTGGGAAATCCCGAAGCGCACATTTTAGGTTGGGATTTCCAACCTTGAATTTCACATTTCAGGTTGGGTTTTTGGCGAAGGTTACAGATTCGCTAGTAAGCGAACTTTCCTGTGGCAAGTTCGCCTTCGCCCTGTAACACTTGCGGAACGATGTGGGGCTGGGGGAGGCAGTGCGCGGGTGAATGGTCCAACACGTCCGACTTTAGGTGTTGCCGACGACTGCGCCGACTCTGATTTAGATATTGATTCCGACTCGGATTGCTGATGCTGATATCGCTGCTGATCTTGATCCAAATGCTGTGGGGGGAAACTCTCTTGCGGATGAAACAGTAACGAGCAAAGCCGATGCGGACTCGATTGAAGCTCCCGTCGCTGGAAATCGTATTCCTGACTCAGCAGAAACCTCCGCTGCTAGCGTTGCGACGTTCGCGGATGCGGTTCCTCTCTCAACGGAAAAGGCGGCTCTAGCAATATGCGCATTCGACATTGCATTTGTGTAAATCCAGCTCTTACCTGTGAGAAAACGCAAATGCTTTCTTCCCCATGCCACCTATGCTGCCTAAACAGCCTAAACAGCATCATCCAAATCCCAACTGTACGTTTGGACGCGCCCAGGTCTGAAACTGCAAGTTGAAACTTGAGTATTCCTTGAGTTGTCCAAAGATCAGTAAGCCAAAGGTTGCTGTCAGAGCTCTCGCGCAACGACCAACAGACGCTGCATACTAATGTCAGAGGTCCACTGGTGATCCCCGATTGATCCTAGGGAAGGGTTACAGGCTCGTTGTCTTGGGGGGTTATGGGCGCACTGACCCGCTACTTAACAAGCCCTTTTATCCCAATGGTCTAGTGGTTGGGATTCTGACATGGTATCAGAGCGAAGGTCTCGGGTTCGAATCCCAGTGTGTGCACTTCGGGCATCCCAGTGCGGGGGGGTGTCAGAGGTCCACTGGTGATCCCCGATTGATCCAAGGGAAGGGTTACATGCTCGTTGTCCTGGGGGGTTATGGGCGCACTGACCCGCTACTTAACAAGCCCTTTTATCCCAGTGGTCTAGTGGTTGGGATTCTGACAACTAAAACAACTCGAATCGGCTTTGTTGAGAGCCATTGTGAAAATGGTGAGGAAATGACGAAGCGCCGTGTTCGTTAGTTTTCGATTCCAATGGGCAGTTGTTTTTACCACGCACCGCTCCGCGATCGCGCCGAATTCCCGTGGGCAGTTCTTTTTTCTTAAAATAGTTTCATGGGGGCAAAAAAAATAAACCCTCTACAAAAAGCATGCAAATAAGGGACGCATCAACCCTAAACACCTTGCCACATTGTGTGTAGGGTTGATGCCTCCCACGTTTACATGTCTTTCCCGAGAGGGTTTATATATTTTTGTCCCGGAAAATAGCATACCATGTGCGCATAAGACCCACAAACTGTTCGTGGGAATTGGGCGCGATCGCGGAGCGATTCGTGGTCAAAACCACTGCCCATTAGAATCGGAAACAAGAAAAGACTGCGGTTCGTCATTTCCTCAAAAATGGCGATGATGATAGCTGCGGACTATCACAAGAACAGCTTCTGGAAGTGGTAATAATAATTTTGAGAAGTATTTTGCGAACAGCAGCGAAGTAGGTAACACATAAGTTACAGTTCGTGCTTGTTTCGCCTAGTGCAAGATGGTTGGGAAGGGAATAAGAGACAAGGCTTCTCCACGAACCGAGTTGTACCTTGCTGAAACGCACCAAACAAACAAAGTCTGAACCAGACCAAAATCCCCTCAAAATCTATACCAGCTTACAACGGTATCGTCGGATGCATCGGTCCTGAACGGTAAGAAACGCTAACCAGAATATCCACAATCCGATTCTCCTAAGCAGCTGGGACTTTTGCAAGCCTCCCAGGAACAGATCCGTGGTCCTTAGTAGTTAGCGTCTGATGACGGAGACTGCAAGGCTTTTGGAGGAGATTGTGAGCGTCGGATCAAAATTAGCCGTTAGATTCGACAATGCCAGGAGGGAGTTGGAAGTGGAACAGCAACAGAGGAATGAAACAACTGAGAGCTCGATGATGGCTGTTAAATTGGATCAACTGGAGACACTTCTGAAAGCAACAAAGGAGGAGTATGTTATCAACATAAGCGAACTAAGAATGAGCTAGCAGCTGAGAGGGCTGCGAGGGAGGGAAAGGAGAAGGAGGTGGCTGCACTGACAGTGCGACTTTTGCAGACAAAGGAATTGCTTTCTCAGGAGAAGGAAAAAAGCTGCAAATTCATCGAGGTGAGCGTATGTAACTGTAGCGTGAGTAATACGATGTTGTTTCTTCTACTTATAGCTTTCTCACAATGCGTTTTCTTCAGGCCGCGATTCTTCGATGTTCTTGTGAGCCAACAAATGCTACACATGCTCAGGATGCAGCACGGGCTCTAAGAATGGAGATGGAAAATATTGTGAAGGCATTGACAGCACAGTCAGCGCAAGCAGAGAAAATGCGGGTGCAGCGAAAGGAGGAATCAAGGAAGGAGCTCGAGGTGAGAAGTTGGGAGGCATGTGGTTGAAACATGTGCATTCTCATCCATTTGCCATAGCTAATTTTTAAAACCTTGTATTGCTTTCAGGCTATTTATCTCACCTCGGACCAGCCACCGAACAAGACAGAACAGATGAGCCGCTAACTGACTGTGGACTTCTTCACCTCCTTTTCTTGACATCCGAAAGCGCCTGGAGATTTCCCATTGTGTCCACTATTAACGGTAGTGGAGTGTTGGCCCCGCCCTTGCTTGGGCAACGCCGACGACTTGGTCGGATGTACGGGAGTAGCAGCCGACCGTTCACAGTGGGAGAGCTGCTCGACAGGGTTCGTCGAGCTGCAGGGGACCGCTGTGGTGTTGCTGTCGACCAAGGAGCTCGACAGCTGCAACTGACTGGTCTGGGCGACGGGTGGGGCGTTGACCAGGACCTGCAGCTCGACCGGCAGCAGTCCGTTGACCTGCAGCTCGACCGGGAGCAGTCTGTCGACCTGCAGTTCGACCAGGAGGTCGACGGAGCAGTCAGTCGACCTGACAAGTGAGCAGCCGTCGACGAGGGGAGCTCGGCGACAACCGCTGACGGTTCTGGTCGACGGACAGGGGGTAGCTCGACGGGAGTTGTGGTCGACCAGAGGCACCTGGTGGTCGACCAGAGGGACCCGGTGGTCGACCGGAGGCATCTGGGGGTCGACCAGAGCACATGGGGGTCGACCAGGTCGACCAGGTAACCTGCTCGACGAGTTCTGCGGAGGCTCGCGAATGTCGTCAAGATCGCAATGGCGCAGGCGACTTCGGGCTGGTATCCCGAAGTCGATGTGGCTCGTCAGGCACAGACAACAGCCGACGAATGCCCAACAAGGCAAATCGGGCCAATTGTCCGTGCGCACCTGCGAGCGTGCGCACTGCTGTGTTCTACGGGGCAACGCTGGACAGCCGCTCTGTTGCAGCGTTGGTACGCCGTCGACCTGCTCTGTTGGCAGGTCACCCTTCTGCAGTGCTGGCGAAGCTCCTCTACGCAACGGTGGCAGGAGGTCGACCGAGCTGTGCTGGCGGTCGACCAGGCTAGCTGCAGGGTTGCTAGGTGCCTGATGTAGTCATTTTGTCATTGCTTGTTGAATGATTCTGTAATTTCAACTTCGCTAGTGGAAACTCTTGCTGATTTCTCCCGTGAATGCGCAAGCACTAAGGAACTAAGCAAAGCCACGATCACTCCTAGTAGTTCGTGCCAACCCCCGTAGTCTAGCTCACTACCATTGTAAAGTGACTCTCCACATGGTGCGGTGAGCGTGGACGGCCCCTCAGATTACCTTCAAATAGGAGCCGACTTTTGCACCTACTAAGTCGTTCGTAGGCCGGCAGCAGCGATAGTCACCATGGTCGACCCCGTAGCTGATGCGGGTGTAGCGGACACCTTGGGGACACGCTTGGCTGATGTGAGGAAACGCCACGCGGATGGCAAGTATGGGATGATCCCCTTGCTGATCATCGATTTGGGCATCCGGTCGCAGCGGGCGACGGAACACCCTTCCCGTCCTGCATCTCCTTGACCGGTGCGCAACGAAGGTGGCGTCGACAACGAGGTCAACGGTGGTGCACGAGTCAGCGGCAGCAAAGGCACGAGGCATAGAGGGGTGATCAAGGTCGACGGTGGTGTTGACGGAATCCAGGCACGAGTGCAGCCGTCGACGGCGGCGGCAGGCAGCTCGCGTGCAGACGCCGATGTTCGACGTCGCTCTGCTCTACAAAGCGGTGGAGGGCTCTCGGCGACGACGCATGTGACGGCGGGCGGGATTGCACTGGCGTATGGCTATTTCAAGTTCTCGCCGGATCGAATCACCGTCACACCTCTGCAAGGTCGACGAGACATCATCACCTGGAGGGAGTCGATCGAAGCTCAGCTGGAGGTCGCCGGGCTGAAGGGCTTCGCCGACGGCACCGTGCCCATTCCGCCCGAGGAGGATGTCGAGCCGCGAAGTGAGTTTTGTGCAGCTCACATGCTTACATTGATGGTCATCTCGAGGTGCTGCTCGCCGGTGGTGCAGCTAGCGCTCAGGAGCTGTCAAGAGCAACTAGATGCTGGTCACCAGGCCTGGCACTTCATCATGTCGACGTACCAGGCCAGAGACGACCTGTACATCGGACAGCTGGAGGAAAAGATGACTCACATTCAAATGGGCGAGCAGGAGTCGGCGACGGTCTACTGCAACCGTGCTCGGCGGATCCTAGCTAAGATGAGGATGGCGGGCGCTGAATACTCGACGGCGTCCTACATCACCCACGTCCTCAAGGGCCTGCCACGCAGCTACAACCTCATGAAGAGGTTTACGATGGTGCCCGGCACACGTGAGTCCCTCGACAAGGACTCCCTCACCAGCTACATCCTCCAGGATGAGGCGATGCAAGAGGCAGAGCAGCCCACGGAGTTCCTTCCGCAGGCGAGTTACGCTACACCGACGAAGCCGAATCGTCAGCAGGAGCAGCGCGGGAAGCCGGGCGGAGGTGGTAGCGGAGGTGGGCGGTCGACGAAGGACGTCGACGAGAAGCGATCGATGCGGGACAAGGGCCGATGAGGTGGTGGTCGACGGCGGGAGTGCTAGATCTGCGGCGACCCCGACCATCTCTCCTTCGAGTGCCCCAACTGCGATGACAGCGACAAGGACGACAACAAGGGAGGCCGTGGTCCATCGGCCAGTCGTCGCCCCCGTCGAGATGAGAAGCCGCGCAAGGAGAAGCAGGCGTTGAAGAAGACATCGTCGACGAAGGACGTCGACACCTCTAGCGGAAAGAGCCGAGGCAACGGGGAGGCGTCATGCTCGATGGTCGGCGTGGTGGAGCCGACGGTCTCACTGGTGTCGGAGGCTGGCGAGGACTTCCAGGCTGTGGCGGCAGCTGTGCAGGCGAACCTGCTGTCTTTTGGCTAGCTAAAGGAGAGCGGAGTGCTGCTGCAGGGCGATGGCGACGAGATGCTGCTCGTCGCCGCGACCGGGGAGGTGCTCGGTCGAGCACGGTACACCGGACGAGTCCTCTGCACCGACCTTCGCCCCTGCTCGATGCACTCGCAGTCGACCAAGGTGGTGGCTCTGCGGACGATTGTCTCGGCGACGAACTCGACCCCTGATCGGCTGCATGCAAGGCTCGCACACGTCGGTGTCGACACGATCAATAGCTCGGCGAAGCATGACGTTGCTACTGGGCTTGACATCACGTCGTCGACCGGAGCAGACCCGCCGTGTGTCTCGTGCGTCGGAGGAAAGCTGGCGCGGCACACCTTCCCCGCCAAGGGCTCGGACGCCGAGGAGGCACTGGCTATCGTGCACATTGATTTTTGCGGGCCATTTCGGGTGGCTGCCAAGGATGGCAGCTTGTACTTCCTGCTGCTGAAGGATCGGCACACTCGGTTCATGTGGGTCATGCCGATCGCTAAGAAGAGCGACGTCCTGCGGTAGTTACAGAAGTGGCTGGTGCTGGTGGAGCGGCGAAGAAATCGGTGCTGTCGTTTCGCTCCGATCAAGGAGGGGAGTTCCTCGGGAAGGCGTTCACTGACTTCGTCGACAGGAAGGGCATGGTCTACGACCTGACGTGCCCCTACACTCTGCAGCAAAATGGCATGGCTGAGTGGGAGATGCGCATGGTCGTCGAGTCCGTGCCGACGATGTTGCTGCACATGGGCGTGCAGCACCACTGGTGGCACCTTGCTCTACGACAAGCTGTCTGGGTGCGCAACTGCTTGGAGCGGTCAACGACGCCGCCGGGGACGACCCCGTACTAGTTGCTGACCAAGAAGAAGCCCGACCTTACGCTGGCGCGGGTGTGGGGCTGCATGGTGCAGTTCATGGTTCCCGAGCAGCAGCGCGGTGGGAAGCTGGCGCCGAAGGCTCCTTGGGGGCTTCACCTGGGTGTGTCGCAGGAGAGCAAGGGCTGGGAGGTGCACAACCTGACAGACAACAAGGTGGTCATGTCGATCGAGGTGATCTTTTACGAGACGCTGTCGCTGGAGGTGTGGAAGGCGAAGTATGGGTCGGGTCGGGCGGACGCAGGCACACCCACCGACGGATACCTCGACGGTGACGGTTCCACTGCTCGCCGAAGTCGACGAGCCTGCTGATGAAAATGTTGTGGAGGTTCTTCCACCTCCCCCTGTTCTTGCTCCTCCCTCCCCCGTCGCAGATCGGCCTGCGTCAACGCCTGTGTCGCCCACCAGTGATGAGGGGAGCCTTGAGGCATCCCCTGTGGCGCCGGCCAGTGGCATCGCCGGCGGACGACAAGGCACCAAGCTCGTCGACCAGGATGGAAAGCCGTCGACGAAAGGGGAGGACCAGACCGGGGAGCCGGTCGAACAGGAGGCAATAGCAGGGGTACACTCGACAGGGGAGCAGCAGCCGGGGCGGTCGACAGGGGAGCTATCAAAGTCAGCAGCAGACGAGCAGCCGGTCAAAGGGTCGAAGCAGCTGGTCGACGACGAGGACATCGATGTGAAAGGGGAGCAGTCGGCGGGCGAGGATTCTACCGACAGCGACGTGGTGGAAGTGCCGATCACGAAGCCTGGGCTGCGACGCACAGGTCGAGCTCGACGACCGCCGGAGTGGCTGAGCTTCCACGCTTGCCTACCGCCAGCTGCCTTCACCACGGTGTACGACGAGGTCGACAACGACCTGTTGTACGACGACGCCGAGGAGGATGAAGACCTGCCAACGTGCATGCCGACCCCGAACACCGCTGGGACATCGCCACGATGACGGTGAAGGAGGCGCTGTCGAGCTGGAAGGGCGAGGTGGTGAAGGCCGCCATGGAAGAAGACATCCGCAGCCTCATCGGTATGGGGACTTAGGAGCTGGTCAAACGCCCACGCAGGGTGAACATCATGAAGAACCGGTGGGTGCTGACGACCAAGTACCGCATTGACGACACCGTCGAGCGCGAGAAGGCGAGGCTGGTCGTGAAGGGCTTCACGCAGGTGTACGGTGCCGACTACGACGAGACGTACTCGCCGGTGAGCAGCTACGTCACGCTGAGGATCTTCCTTAGCATCATCGCCATCCTCGACCTCAACCTAATGCAGCTTGACATGAAGAAGGATTTCCTGCATAGCAAGCTCAACATGGTGCTCTACATGTACTAGCCGGACTACTTCGACGATGGGACCGGCCGGGTGTGTAAGCTGCTGAAGAGCCTCTACGGGCTGAAGCAGTCGCCGCTGCTGTGGTACAGGGCTCTCGACGGTGTGCTGCTGGGCGCTGGCTGGAAGAAGAGCCAGGTCGACGAGGCGCTCTACTTCAAGGCCGGCGACGACGGAGTGACCTGCTGGGTGCTGGTCTACGTCGACGACCTGCTCGCCGCCAGCAGCAGCACCGCGATGCTGAAGGAGCTGAAGGAACAAGTGGAGGCCGCCTTCGAGCTGCGTGAGATCTCGCCGGTGGTGAATTACCTTGGGCTGGAGATCGTGCGCGACAGGACGGCCAGGAAGCTGTGGCTGCACCAGCAGGGCTACGCCAACAAGCTGCGCAGGCGCTTCATCGACGAGGAGCAGGGCAGTCGAGTCCCGAAGACGCCGGTCTCTGTCGACGCCTACGCTGAGCTGATGTTCAACAACGAGGAGTCCCAGGAGCGCGAGGAGGAGGAGTACCGGCAGAAGGTCGGCTCGCTGCAGTTCGCGGCGACGACGACAAGGCCGGACATTGCGTTCGCCTGCAGCAAGCTGGGGAGCGGCCTCACGGTGAGGAGCGACCAGCATTGGCGCGAGGTCAACCGCTGCCTCGCCTACCTCGCCGACACCCGCGACACCGCCCTGGAGTTCGGCGGTGGACCAGAGTCACTGGAGCTGATCGGCTACGTTGACGCCGATGATACGGGCAACAAGCAGAACCGGACGAGCACGGGAGGCTACGTGTTCATCTACGGAGGGGCTGGCGTCTCCTGGTCAAGCTCGCGCATCAAGTGCGCGACATTGTCATCGACCGAGTCGGAGTACATGGCGGCCATAGATGCTCACAAGGACGGGCGTCGACTTCGCTTCCTCCTTGCGGAATTCAAGCCGCTCGACGCTGGGCAGCCGACCATCTTCCGCGTCGACAACAAGTCGGCAATCACGGTCGCTGAGGGCTTGGGGTTGACGGGCAACCTCAAGCACATGGAGCGACGCTACGCCTGGCTGCAGCACATGGTGAGGCGCGGGAAGTTCGTGCTGAAGTACATCCCAACCATTGAGCAGCCGGCTAACTTCCTGACGAAGGCGCTGCATTTTCCGGCTTTCAACGGTGCTCTGTCGCCATCGGCCAAGTTCGCCTATCCGACGTCGGCGACGGCGACGATGAGGTGCAGTAGTAGGTGCCGTGCCCTTCTGCACGGCTGGTGCGGTGACGGCGTGCTGTGTGTGGGGTGCACGCCGAGGATGAGTTTTCTCCGAGGAGTACTATCGTGTGGGCTGGAGGCCCAAGCGTGAGCGCGGCAGGGGAGTGTTAACGGGAGTGGAGTCTTGGCCCCGCCCTCGCTTGGGCAACACCGACGACTTGGTCGGATGTACGGGAGTAGCAGCCGACCATTCACAGTGGGAGAGCTGCTCGACAGGCTTCGTCGAGCTGCAGGGGACCGCTGTGGTGTTGCTGTTGACCAGGGAGCTCGACAGCTGCAACTGACTGGTCTGGGCGACGGGTGGGGCGTTTGACCAGGACCTGCAGCTCGACCGGGAGTATTCTATCAATCTGCAGTTCGACCAGGAGGTCGATGGAGCAGTCTGTCGACCTGACAAGTGAGCAGCGGTTGACGAGGGGAGCTCAGCGACAACCGCTGACGGTTCTGGTTGACGGAAGGGGTCCGTCGACCAGGGGGTAGCTCGACGGGAGTTGTGGTCGACCAGAGGCACCTGGTGGTCAACCAGAGGGACCCGGTGGTCGATCGGAGGCACCTGGGGGTCGACCAAAGCACATGGTGGTCGACCAGGTCGACCGGGTAACCTGCTCGACGAGTTCTGCGGAGGCTCGCGAACGTCGTCAAGGTCGCAATGGCGCAGGCGACTTCGGGCTGGTATCACGAAGTCGATGTGGCTCGTCAGGCGCAGACAACAGCCGACGGATGCCCAACAAGGCAAATCGGGCCAATCGTCCTGCGCGCACCTGCGAGCGTGCGCACTGCTGTGTTCTACGGGGCAACGCTGGACTGCCGCTCTGTTGCAGCGTTGGTACGCCGTCGACCTGCTCTGTCGGCAGGTCGCCCTTCTGCAATGTTGGCGCGGCTCCTCTATGCAACGGTGGCAGGAGGTCGACCGAGCTGTGCTGGCGGTCGACCAGGCTAGCTGCAGGGTTGCTAGGTGCCTGATGTAGTCATTCTGTCATTGCTTGTTTAATGAATCCGTGATTTCAACTTTGCTAGTGGAGACTCTTGCCGTTTTCTCCCGTGAATGCGCAAGCACTAAGGACCTAAGCAAAGCTACGATCACTCCTAGTAGTTCGTGCCAACCCCCGTAGTCTAGCTCACTACCGTTGTAGAGTGACTCTCCCCATCCACAATGCCGCCTTGAGGCATCTCTACACCGTGACATGGCTGGAGGAGCTGAAACTTGAATCACACACTTTTGATGATTCAGTGATTCTGAGCATCGGGAACTTGTCTACTCTCCGTCATCTTGAACTGGCTCATCTGACAAGTCTTGGCTCCCTCAAAGTCCTAATTCTTTCTTGTGGTAAGAGCACTTTTTTTCTGCTAGCATGGTTCATCTGAGCAAGCTGACATGGTTGGAGGAGCTGAAACTTGAATCTTGAAATTTTTATAATTCAGTGGTCTTCAGCAACCTCACGGCTCTCCGTCGGCTCGAACTGATACAAACGTGAGTTTTGTATGCTGGGCTGGCTCATCTGACATGCCTTGGCTCCCTCAAAGTCCTCGTTCTTTCACGATGTGGTAATAACATCTCATGTGGGAAAGCTGA